AAATCAGATTTATTGCTGAGATTTAGGAATGAAATCCCAATTTACATCGAGGCGCTGCGTGGAGAACAAAGGCTGGAACCTCCCCGTCGGGTGCAGGACGCGGTGCAGGGAATCCACCTGCAAAATGCCAGGAAAACGGGCAAAAAAAGGGAAAAAAATCAAAATAAACCAAGTTGGGAATTCCTAAAACGGGAATTTCCCACCCCAAAAAAGAACTGAGGGAACCGCAGCGATGATTAATTAATTGGAGATTAATTAATGTGGAAATTAATTAATTGGAGATTAATTAATGTGGAAATTAATGTGGAATTTGGGATTTTATTTTGGGAATTGGAGATTAATTAATGTGGAATTTGGGATTTTTTTTGGGAATTGGAGAAATCCCAGCAGGAATTCCTGGATTTGAGGATGAAGATTTCCATGGGAATTCTTTCAGGATGAATTTCATTGGGAATTTGCAAAATCCCAGGAAAAAGGGACAAAAAAAGGGAAAAAAATCAAAATAAACCAAGTTGGGAATTCCTAAAACGGGAATTTCCCACCCCAATAAAGAACTGAGGGAACCGCAGCGATGATTAATTAATTGGAGATTAATTAATGTGGAAATTAATTAATTGGAGATTAATTAATGTGGAAATTAATGTGGAATTTGGGATTTTATTTTGGGAATTGGAGATTAATTAATGTGGAATTTGGGATTTTATTTTTGGGAATTGGAGAAATCCCAGCAGGAATTCCTGGATTTGAGGATGAAGATTTCCATGGGAATTCTTTCAATGTAAATTTTAATATTTAATATAAAATTTCACTCCTAATTCCAAGGAGAATTTCAGATTTTTTTTGCCCCCATAAAAACCAGGAAATTTAAACCACAACAAAATTTGAAATAAATATAAAAACCAGGAAATTTAAACCACAACAAAATTTGAAATAAATATTAAAATTGGAATTAAAAAATGGGAATGAGTGAATTCCTCTGGGATCCAGGGGGCAGAAATTTGGGAATTTTTTTAAACCACAACAAAATTTGAAATAAATATTAAAATTGGAATAAAAAAATGGGAATGAGTGAATTCCTCTGGGATCCAGGGGCAGAAATTTGGGATTTTTTTTCCCAGTTTTTCCCATTTTTCCCGGTTTTTTCCTCACATTTTGAGGGCTCTGGTAGGAAGTCAAGGATTGAAGGTTGAGGAAGGAATCCCCGGGATTTGGCATCTGAAATGAGCCAGAAGAAGCTGGAAAAATCAAAAAGATAATGAAAATATTGAGTTTATAAAGGAAATTTTGGGGAGGGGTAAATGGGTTTTTTTAGGGAGATGGAAAGGGGAATAAATGGGAATAAAATGGGAATAAAATGGGAATAAATGGGAATAAAAACAGGAATAAAATGGGAATAAAAGGGAATAAAAATAGGAATAAAATGGGAATAAATGGGAATAAAAGTAGGAATAAAATGGGAATAAATGGGAATAAAAGTAGGAATAAAATGGGAATAAAAGGGATTTGGAAAGGGAATAAATGGGAATAAAATGGGAATAAAATGGGAATAAATGGGAATAAAAATAGGAATAAAATGGGAATAAAAGGGATTTGGAAAGGGAATAAAATGGGAATAAAAGGGAATAAAAAGAGGAATAAAATGGGAATAAAAGGGATTTAGAAAGGGAATAAAAGGGAATAAAAAGGGAATAAAATGGGAATAAAAAGAGGAATAAAATGGGAATAAAAGGGATTTAGAAAGGGAATAAAGTGGGATGAAAAAGGGAAGAAAAGAGAAATAAAGGGAAAATAAACAGAAATAAACCGAAAATAAATGGAATTAAACAGAAATAAACAGAAATAAAGGGAAAATAAATAGAAATAAACAGAAAATAAACAGAAATAAACAGAAATAAAGGGAAATAAAGGGAAAATAAAAAGAAATAAACAGAAATAAAGGGAAATAAAGGGAAAATAAACAGAAATAAAGTGAAATTAAACAGAAATAAAGGGAAAATAAACAGAAATAAAGGGAAAATAAACAGAAATAAAGGGAAAATAAACAGAAAT